GTGTGTGTGTGTGTGTGTGTGTGTGTGTGTGTGTGTGTGTGTGATGTAGCCCAGGTTGACCTTGAATTCATGATCCTCCTACCTCCACCTCCTGAGTGAAGAAGCCCCTTACTGACCCTCCCTTTCTGTTTCTTGTCTTGAATCCTATAAATAAAGGAACTCTTTGGGACCCTTAATTTGGAAAGAATTGGTGATGTCCCCAGTCTGTTCTTGGGTCCTGAAGGCTGTGTGTGATTTTCTGTTTGGAGGCTTGGGAAAAAGTTTGGCTACAGGCTTTGCTGCTGAGCCTTTTTTCAAAGGAGTTCTTGGAGGGGGTTTTCTCAGGATATGAGGATCTTTGGTCTTTGGTGGGTGTAGTTTACCTATTGTATAGAATGAATGGGGGCAGTCATTTTCCTCACCAGTGACGGACTGTGAGCCTTTAACCTGGGATCCTGAAGGTACAGCCTGTACTCACATGTACATATGTGTATATTCATGTGTGTGCACGTGTGTATAGGGGACAGCTTGGGGCTTAGAGTTCCCCTACTCACCCCCCTGCAGCTGGGGGAGGCTTAGGAGGCCGAGGAGGCTGGGAGACTGTCCTTCTTGGGTCAACAGTTGGACATGCTCTGGGTATTCCTGAGCTGGGCCATGAGCTTGCCAGGGTCAGGGCATGGGGGCCTGGCATTGTACATTGTGCACAGTGGGGCACAATGAATGTGGTTCCGAGAGTGAGGGAGATTCAGTCCCCACAGATGAGACCCTTTTGCTCCCAACACTATAAGTGGACAACTGTGGCAGGAGCCCTGGGGTCCTGAGCAGACCACATCTTCTCTTCCGTCTCTCAACTGCCTCCTCTATCACCACTTCTTGTTGCCCTCCTCTGACATTGTGGGGTATGGGAGTCAAGAGGGTGGAGCTTGATCCTAGCCACACTCCAAGCCCACAGCAGCTGGGGGTGCATGGCTGCGTGGGGTTCGGCAGGGGCTGCAGGGTTCTCCGGCCTGCTTTCTGCGCTGTTCTGTACAGCGGGTGATGGATGGCGCGTCCCACTGCAGAGTAAGGGAAACGCGCCTCCACAGCAGGGACAGGCTGCTAAATTATCTCCCACTCAGTACAGCTTAAGGTAAACAAAACCGGAAAACCTTCAGCTCCCAAAAGCTGGGTTCCCATGGCCATTGAAGCAACCTTGGGTGTTTCCTCTAATTGAAGTTAGACACCTCTGAGGGTTATGATGAGGGCAGAGACTCCATCTGATGCATCTCATAAAGAGAGAGGGACGAGGTGACCGCAGGGTGTGGGGGAAGGCAGTGATGGATGGGAAACTAAGCCAGAGGAGGCCTGGAAGAAGATGTGGGAGCAGCCAGGTGGGAGATAAGTGCCTGGGACTGGGGTACTGGAGGAGGCAGGTGGCCAGAGCGCTGAGGGAGTGAGCCTGGGCAGACGGGCCAAGGGTGCTCATGACTCCTGGAGAGTCGGTTCCTTCCCCGGGGCAGGCAAACCCGAATGCTCTGTGGAGGAACAGTGCTGACCCTGGCGGAAGATCTTGGTCATGGCCCCCTTCTGTTTTAATGCTCATGTTTGTTTTAGGTCAGAAGTTGGAGTTAGTGGGTCCCTTGTTCTTGTTTAATTTCTTTCCTTTTCCTCCAGGTTGGAAATCTGTCTGTGAGAACCTAACACTCTTCTGTGATACCAGCTCTTCCCTGCTACATTCCACGCTGAGGAAGTTCTGATCGGATCATCAGCGGCCCCAGCCACAGGGAAGCAGACGCTACCTCCCACCGCAGGTAAGATCCACTTTCTCGCCTACACCAGCAACGGAGTTTGAATTTGCAATGGGAAAACACTTTAACAGGGCCGTTCCACATTCCAGAAGGCATTGCAGGGCAGGAACAAAGGTAGGGGCAGGCTGTCTCATGTGTATGTTTGTAGATCATGGTATCTTCGTGGCTTCTGCAAGTAGGCTACTTGAAGGAGAGTCAGCAGGTCTCCAGGAAAGCATGGGGTTGAACTTTGTGAGGACCGGCTGTTCTCTATGTCCCGGCACCCATCAGCTTGGTCTTGGGGAGTTAGTATGGAGAGGAGGGTAGACATGGTGTATAGTCGGATGCCAGGCGTCAGCACGAGATTCCCCAAGTGGCCAAGGTCAGGAACTGACCCCTCCGCTGTACCTGTTCTCCGCGCTAATTAATGCCTAGGTGGCCCTGAAGCTCACCAAGCAGTACTAAGCCTCTGCCTGGCTGGGGAGGGGACAGAGTGATCATCTGTCCCCTGGGGGCAGGCAGCAAGTCAATTCTGATGCTAGACACAGGCATCACCCTTGCAGGTTTCAGGCCCAGTTTGCAAGTCGGCCCTTGTTTTTCATGCCGGCCACAGGGCTCAGGGCTGCCCTTTGTCAGGAGTGCCCAACCCCCTTCTGTTTTGATAATTTGCTAGGCCTGCTTGTGGAACTCAAGAAAGTGCTATGCATGTGATTTTGGCTCTATGATAAAAGATACACAAGGGTGAGATCTGGGAGGACCCTGGTCACTGTGCCCCCACGAGAAAGTTAGGGTGGCCCATCCTCCTGGCTCATCTATGTGTTTACCATCACGAAACACCATAAGCTTTACGAGGCTTCCATAATCAGGGGTATGGCCAGGCTCACCCAAACCACCAAAAGGTTCCCCTTGAGTCACCTGGTCAGTATAAGGTCAGTGGGACAAGGGACTTTACTCAAGTAAGCACCCAGACTCAGTCTCCATCACAACGCCAAAATCCAGCAAGAAGTACGTGGTGAGTCTGCCACTGTGCAAGGTGCGGAAGCCTCAGCAGTGATGTGCCTCAGCGTGCTCCTGTGGTGGCCTTTGATGGCAGTTTTAAAGTTACATTTATTTATCCGTGTGTATGTGTGAGAATGTGTGCCACAGTGCACGTGTGGAGGTCAGAGGGCAACTTGCGGGAGTTGGTTCTCTCCTCCTATCATGTGGGTCCTCGGGATTGAACTCAGGCTGTTGGGCTTGGTGGCAAGTGCCTTTACTCTGAGCCATCTTGCTGGCCCCCTGTGATGGCGGCCTTTGCTGGGCAGAGTATGTTGTGCGAATGGGAACCAGGTACAGGGCACTAGCTGGTCTCTCCAGAGCCCTTTGCAGTCTGTTGGTCAGAACGCCACACAGCGTGGGTGTTCCTCCAGGCACAAGCCGGCTGTCTTCTCATCCCTTCCCCAAGTCAGGTCTTCCTGGTGTCCTCTTCTTGCGCCCGGCTTACCGGTTCACAGACTGCTCCTCACTCATCACTCGGGACCCAGACAGTCCCTGACTTACGTCACTGCCTCTTTACTCTGTGTGAGGGTGATGGGTAGAAACTGCTTTGATTTCTGAATTTGGATCTTTTCCTACACTGGGATCTGAGTTATGCTGCTGCAGAACAGTTGAGGTTCTGACCAACCACCTGGTCACAAGGGGAAAGAATCAGCACTCTACAGTGTGCTGTGTGGCCCAGCCAGGATGCGCGCAGGGTCAGGCCTGATAAGTGCATCTCACTTAATTTCTTAAGGGACAGTGGGTTTATCAGGACACAGCCCATCGTAGGCTGAGTGTCTGCATTTAGGCACTCCAGTGAGCCTCTTTTGGACTCTGGGAATGCAGTGAAGAAAATCTTCATGGGTTTTGTGACTTAGTGGGGTGTGGAGAACAAGCAAGTGCGGATTCAAAGTGATGTCAGGGAGAGAAAAGTCCTGAAGGGGAAATGAAACGGGCAAAGAGGACTGAAGACAGGGAGCACAGGGAGCTGCTGTTTACACAGGGCAGGCCCTGGGTGCTGTCCCCATCTGCACAGAGTAGAGGAGGTAAGGCAGAATCGCAAGGAGGCCTGAGGGAAAAGCCTTCCAGACGGGGATGCTGGGCAAAGGCCCCCAAAGTGGCTGCAACGCTGGTGTGCCAGGCTGAGTGGGAAGGGGATGGGGTCCTGGGTACTCCGGGCTGCAGTGAAAGGTCTTGAGACTGGCGTGAAGGATTTGGGATATTTGCTTAAGGCCAGTGGAATCCAGTAAGGGTTCTGAGTCACGGACTTTGTCTTGATTCAAGTCTGATGAAGATGATGATGCCTTCCGGGGTGGAGTCAGGGGAGGGAGGTAGAGCTGAAGCCAGAGTCTCCTGAAGTCCGCTGTGGGCCACTACTATTCTCGTGAGGCAGACTGGGCTGGAGCCTGGTGTGGGAGCAGAGGTGAATCTGGGGCCAAGTTTGAGCTGATTCCCGTGCCGCTGACGTAGCAGGAGCTCAGTGCTGCCGCGGAGCTGTGCTGGGAGGTTCCCAGTACCCTTACCATTCCTCTGAGACACTCTTGGGATTCTGGTCTGTGCTCCTGGTCTAGCAGGAAGTACGGCTTGTGGCTGGCCTCAGTGCAGTGCAGGCAAGCCCTGGGGTCCTGTCCCTGGAGGATGGGGCTCCGGACTCTACCCCTGAGAGGGGACAGCAGGACAGGGAGATGCTGCAGACGACAGGTGGCAGGGACAGCACACCTCCTGCTCCTTCCACAGTGCTTTCTTCACGGCCTCTATCAAGGAGGCTACAAGACCCAGAGTCACCTTCCATGGGTTTGAGAACAAGTATTCCCAGCACGGTATCTTTTGGAGGGCATCAGAGCTGAAAACACAAAGCCAAGGGGTCTGGGGCATCGAGGGAGGACTTTTCATAGACCTGTTTTGGCATGCTTACAGACTGGCCCCTGTGGGTTGTGAAGATAGCTGTGAGTAGTGGGCTGAGGCTAGGCACGTGAGAGCCTTGTTCTTCCTGTGGGGTGAGTAGACTCATAGGGAGCTCCCCATTGGAATGAGGAGAGCACAAATGTGTGTCCCGGCTGCCTGTGTGTGACCTTGATACTATGTCTTTTCATCAGCTCCGGGAGGTGGGTGATACATCTCCGAAGGAGGAGGCCAGGCACATGGGCGAGCAGCCAGGCATGCTGGGTTGCTGACTCCTCTACACACACTTCCCCCACCTCAGAGCAGTACCCAGGGAAGCCCAGCAATGTCAAGTCCACCCCTGGGGCATGTGGATCTCCTGCCTGCCTCCAGTGCCCCGTAGAAAAGCATCTATTTAGTGTGTCTTCCCGCTCAGCGGTGGAGAACCTGGCCCAGAAGAGCCCATGGGTGGGTCTGGGTCTAAGCTCTAGGACTGGCTTTGACATGCAGGCCGCTTAGTGTGCTCCCCTCACTGCAGAAACATTCTTGCTCAAGGAAGGGTGGTGAAGAAGCTGGCCCGGCCTGTGCATTTCCTGTCATGTCTGTTAGATCTTATTTGAAAGCTCACTCCTTCCATTTTGGACCTCACTGTGCAGCCAGTCCGAGTCTTCACTAAGCACAGTAATGGGCGTTAATCTTCTGCAGAATAAAGTGATATGTTGGCCCAGCTGTGGCCGATGGTCCGTCAGGTGCTCTGGGAGAGTATCTGGAACACAGCAGAGGCATCACCTGCTCTCCTCTCTAGCCCTCCCTGCAAATGGTCTCAGATCCTCCTAGTCACGCTTGTGCGCCTTGTTGGGGTCACTTGGGAGCAGTGGCCAGCTGTTCCTCCTCCAGAATGCTTTTGGGGGTGAAAGTTACTCTATCATGTTCAGGAACTAGGAAGTGAACCAAGTCTTCCACTGGCCTCTGTGTCCACCAGGCGGGGCCGCAGGTGACAGAGGCTGGGGCCCCACAGACTGGGGCCATGTGTGAGTGTTCGTGGTTGAACCGCCTGTACCTATAAGTACTTCACATTGGAAGTCCTCCATCTCTGGACCTCCACCCTCGAGCCACATCCCATGAGCATAACATGAGACATCTCATAAATCATCTCCGAATGAGCCTGCTTCCTGCACTCATCCATCATGCCCGTCTCCCCCTGCTTGTTTTTAAAAGCTGTTAAACCGGAATCTGTCATAGGGGATGCTGGCACCTTGGGCCGAGATACACACAGGCTGCCACGTTGATGGTGGGTGAGCTCCTGCTTTCTGGTGCATCAACATGGTGGTCTCCTGGTGTGGGAAGATGAACATGGTTTTACCAAGTCACATCAGAAGCCATTTAGAGTTAGACATTCCTGAAGTCTGTCCAGAGCCTGCCCAGCTGTGTTGCTGCTGGGTAGAAGTGTTGGTACCCACCTGACCCAGGTCAGGCCGCCTGGGAGGGACCTTCCACTCTGCCTGTCCTAGCTGATGGTTTAATTGGAAGACTGGCTTGTGTCAACAGTTGCAAACATGGCTTCTAAAACCACCTGTGGTTAGGGGCTGGAGAGATGTCTCAGTGGTTAAGAGCACTGGCTGCTCTTGCATAGGACCTGGGTTCGATTCCCAGCACCTACATGGCAGCTAACAACCATCCGTAACTCCAGTTCCAGGGGATCTGACACCCTCTTCTGAACTCCAGGGCACTGCAAGACACAGATGCACTTACATGCAAGTGATGCAGTCAAATATGTATATTTAAAAAATCTGTGGTTACTGTTCTGTTGATACACGTGCTTGGCAAAGGCATGTCCGGTGTGGCTCAACCTCTTAATGCCTCTTTCTGAACAGCTGGGTCACTTGAATGGGCTCTGGGATGCTTGCGCTGACCCGGGGGGACCAGACACCCCCCATCGCACGTCTTTCTCCTCGCCTGCCTCCTCCCCCACCTTTACTTCTCCCTCCTCCAGGTTTTCTCTACTTTCCCCTCGTTCCCTTCTCCTCCTCATCTTCTCTCTGTCACCCCCTCTTTTTCTTTCTCTCTTTCCCTCCCCCTCTCTCTCTCACTGATGAGTTTCCCTGGTCCTAAGTTTCTCTCCACCT